TAATAATATTTATATATATAATATAGTGTGTAGTTGTGTTCCTCCTCTGTATTTCAATAAATATTGATTAATGGAAGATAAAAACTGAGAAGGTGGAGAACAGTAACAGAAACGGGTCACACAGAGATGAAAACAGCCTCAGATATGTGAGATCAGCCTGGTGAATCATCCAATCCAGAGGACACATGTTTATTTTTATTGCCAGTATGGCTCCTATCGGGCTCTCTACCTCTCCTCTTGGGGCGACCACAGCACCCACTGGGTGTGGATCATCTCAAGGTCTGCTGCTCTTTAATCTAAACCCAGAGTTTCCTTTCCCAGTGACTGAAGGATATTTCTGTCAGTAACATCAGAACCCCCAAGACTGACAGTTTTTTATGGGATTGTTGATAATAAATGATTTCATGGCAGCTTTTCTAAAAAATCGCAATGTTTTTAGGGTTTTTTGCAGTGAAATTGCAGGAAAAAGTGAATATTGCAAGAATAGTTGGGATTTTTCCCCCCCTTTTTAAATAATTCATTAAAAATCAAAGGCAAAATGTTCCAGTGAGACTAAAATCAACAGTTTGAAGTGTTCCAAGGAACCAAAGAGGCCCTCGGCTTCACAATATAACGCTGTAGGTGGCGCTCTAAGAACGTCAGTGGCAGATTACAACTATTTAAATACAGCTCAGACTGTAAGTGTGAAGGCTGTAGGGGATAAAAACGTCTCCTAAGGGAACAAAAACACATCTATTCTCATTATCAGGTGATTAAACACTGATAAGCACATACCTGTGAATATCTCTGACACTAGAGCCTCCTCAGTGTCACACTCTGGAGCTTTGGGTGTAAACAGGGTTGAGATTGTTTGTGAATATCAAAGCGCAGCAGAAATGTGGTCGAGCAGCTGTGAGAAACCAGATCAGTGTGACAGAAACACTTAGGGCCTTTTGAGCGAAACACACCTGGTTAGTTTCAGTGTCACACTGTGTTCACATCACGTCAGACACACAGAACATCCTGTTCACTGGAGGGGAAAACACTCTTCAAAGGTAATTACATACAGGAAGTGGGATTTACTGAAAGCTTAGTTACATTCACACGTTCAGTGGTCAGAACTGCTCGAGAAGCACCTGCTGCAGGTTGTTTATGACGGATTTTAAATTGATGAAGACGTTGCTGACCTTTGACCTGATAAGACTGGAACTCGTTCCCCTGAAGTCAAACTGTTCTGTTTTGACCTTTTAGCTTCCAGCTGACACAACAAACGGCGACTCATCTGATTTCTACAAAGACGCCTGCGGGCCATCTGACAGGCGCCGCCCATGATGATCTCACACTCTACGAACTGGAGCTGTCAGCGTGTGACAGACAGTTTGTGTCTTTGTGTCAGAGGGAGTCGCCGTGCTGACTCACTGCTGGTTCAGCCACATTTCACCGCTGGCAAACAAAAGCAGAACCTGCTCAGGCTGATGCTTCCTCAGAAAGCGATGTCAGCACGCAGGCATGTACAGCATGTATGCTAATGACTGCGTCGGAGTTAACCCTTCGCTGCCTGCTGGAGACGCCAGGTTCAACAAGTACAAGTACTGGTTTTTGGGGGATTGTTGCAGCCTAAAATGACCAAAAATTTAAAATGTGATGTTTTTGGGGCAATAAAATTGGAGGAAAAAGCGAAACTTAAAATTATGACTTCTTAAAATACTACAACTTTCTTGTAGAAGCACATTATTTCCTGTATTTTTACCACTTGTTCCTCTAATTACGACTATTCTCACAGATAAACACAAACATTACAACTTTGTAACATATTTCAGTGTCACAAACTGTAAAACTGCATTTTCACAAGACGGTTTTTCTTTTAAAAGGGAAATTAAATATGACAAAGTGTAACACACAGGACATCATGGCGGGAACAGAAACAGAACTTTATAATAAAGACTCTGATTCGTCGTTTGTGTTTGAGACAGAATAAAGATGCAGACGTGGAGCCGCGGTGTCACAGTTAATCATCAGTCCTCATAAATCACACCAAGGGAACCGCTGCAGTCTGAGGTTCCACCTAACAACAGATCAAACTGTGGGGACAAACAGAGGAGGCGTCCAGCCGGGGCGGAGGTCTGCAGCCGGTTACATCATAACGGACTGTATCTCTATCCAGCTGCTGTATGAACGGCCTCCAACCTCACATCTGATATCTGTCCTTTATTATTTCCCAAAGGACAATCGGTTAATAGACTGTTGGTACAAACTGAAGCTCCTTCTAAATCAATAAACCCACAGATTGTCCTTTGGGACGAATTAAAGTGCAATTATTCCTCGTAGTCAGTTTGTTTTTTGTCGCACCGGCACCAGTAATGAAAAATGAAATAAACATATTTTCTTTATTAGTTTTGAAGTCCGGCTACCGAACCTTCTCTACTTTTATGACATCGACCGAGTATCAAATAATGTTTCGTCTTTGGTACAGAATGTATTTATAGTTTTTGCATAATCCAGTTCTGTATCTATCAAACTTTATTAGTAAAGAGCCTCTCATACAGTTCAAAGTGTTCTACGTGAGTTTTAGTTAATATCTAAAATCCGTTAAAAAAGGGAACCAATGTGTCCTGTATCATCAGGAGACACATTACAGATATAAAGTCTCCAGATGCTTCCTTTAAGTGAGTCATTGCACCGTAACGTATAATGTGGTATCCAACCCTACTTTAAGGAGTTAGGGTTAGATTTAGGGGGTTAGGGTTAACCTTCAGTTTCCAGTTTATTAGGCGCACTGAACTGAAACCGGTCTGCTGTAAATCCTTCGTCACAGATGCAGTTTGTGTGACACTGAGAGCTGTTTTAGTCTTTGATATAAACGGGGGTTGGGAGATATCAGAAACAGACACTGAGCTGTCGCCATGTTTCCTTTCTGTTGAAAATGTGACGAACATGAGGAGGAAGAGGAGGAGAGGAGGTCGGTGGCTGCGGAGTGGCGAGGAGGGTTCAGCTCCCTCATTTGTAAAGCAAACACAGTCGCGGTCGGAGGGAAACTTCAAAGCTCAGCATGACGTCTCAGATAAAGACATCAAACGGAGAAAGAAAGCTTCTCCTCTTCGCCTGGACGCTGCTTTTTGGAAAATAAAGAGGCAGCGTCGGCAGATTATGGCCTGCTCGCGTCCCGCCACAAAAGCTGCCAGCACTTCCTAAAAGGATGCACGTCACTGTAACCGGCTGCTCCACAGCACCTTCTTCAGTACCGTGGCCACACCCACTACTGAGGTCACACAGGTATCTTTTAGTGTACAGTAGATTCGCCTAAAAATAACTTTGCTTTGATTCTAAAGCGAGGTTCTCAAACACAGCTGGTTCAGCGCTGTAAAGACTGAAAATATCCTCGTTAAAACTGATTAAAAACACCAGAAGAATCAGGGTACAGGTGGTGCTGAACCTGGTTTTGGTCCAGTTCAGGCGCCGATGAACTCTTTGCGCTTTGTGAGAATGATGAGACGTTTGTGTCTTTGTTAAGTTGACATTAATTATCCGGTCAGTTAGCACACTATAGTAAGTTATTTTAGCACATAGCCTCGCTAGCATCCATTGTTGTTATTGTTTGTCCCGGCTCAGGTTAAACCCTTTCTTAGAGTCAGAGTAGGTCATGACTTCACCATCCTGGGCTAATAAAAGACGTGATATCAGTGCTGCTCTGTGGCTGAAGAGGAACCAACGACTGACTGTGTGACAGCGCTTTGTTTATTGGGGGATTTCCTGCCCCGAGTTGCGTCTCGCTGTGATGAAGTAAGTGATGACAAATGTGATGACACGTGTGTCTGGTTGAGAGACGTCTCTGTTGGACGACGGAGGTCTGGATGAGTCCTCAGGAGCCACATTAGATTTACAACCAGATCACAACTGTAACTCATCACTTCCACTTCCTGTGTGAGCAGTAAAAGAGGAAGTGGACCGTCGAAAAGCCTCCCTGTTTCTGTCTGTCTGTCTGTCTGTCTGTCTGTCTGTCTGTCTCTAGTACTGATGCTGCTGAAGTCAGAACGTAAACAGGAAGCAGAAGTGTGTGTGAAAACAGCGAGCGAGCATGTCGACCGAGGTCAGATTGCGTCATCACAGTCTCTCTCTCTCTCTCTCTCTCTGGTCAGCTCTCAGCCAT